ATGACTTCGATATCAACCATTTATATAGTGCCACCTTAAATTTATAACAAGAACCGACCCCACCCACCCACCACTTTGGATTCATCATCATTATCATCATCATCATTATCCCGTTAAACTGCCTTTCTTTTGGTTCACTAGTTTCTGTTGAATGTCTGATCAGCTCTCTCCACCTTTGGCGGTCAGTTGCGTTGGACTTCATGGTTGCATCCCTGAGGACTGTCCAGTCAGTCAGGTTCAGTAACCAGGTCTTTCTTTGTCTGCCTTTTCTCCTCTGTCCCTCTACTAAGCCCTGCAGTATTGTTTTTAAGAGGCCGTTAGATCGTATAACGTGTCCATGCTATTGTATTTTTCGCCTGTTCACTGTAATTAAAAGAGGTTCATAGTTGCCAGTATGATGTATAACTCTATTGCGAACCTCTTCGTTTGTAATTTTGGGGATCAAATTGAGGTTTGAGGTTTTAACAAAGGATCAACATTATGGCACACGAGTAATAACCCATAAGTGCTCCATTTGACTTCTAAATCATGTCTGAGTCCAAAGTAGCTCAGCGCAGTGCACAGGCTCCGTAGCACCGACGAGGATCCTTAAATATTTAGGGTAGATTTTTAACTCAAAATTTTGCCTGGGCAGCGCCGTAAGGCTTCTCTTTTCGATTTCCAGCTGCCAAGGCATATTGAAAGAATATCAGATGAGAATTAAAACTGTATACACCAGGGAGATAAATGGTGGTAGACCACGAGGGAGATCAAGAAGACGATGGACAGATAATATCCAGACAGACCTGTGTTACCAATGGGAAAGAGAAGGCCAAACAGAGAGATAAATGGTTTCCGGTGATATCTGCAGCAATAAACCTCAAGGGCTCGGAATGCTCAAGAAGAAGAAGGGATTTTTTTTTTTACGTGAGCAACTATACACACAAGCTTCCGATCTTACTACCCAGAGACCATGTAAAAGTACTAGAGGTCAACGTGAAAGAAAATCCCAGCACTTACCGTGGCTTGAACCCGGGACCTCAAGCACAGTAGGCGGACACCTCGAGACCACGCAGTTCCATACTCCCAGATTTAAAATGTCATTAAAAAGAGGAGGACAACAGGGAAAACAAAATCGAAAACACCATTAACAATAACTTGGAATGGGCGGGGGGTGGGGGAACCATCCACATATATCAAAGTGTCAAAAAACAGAAATAATCACCAACAACTGGTAGTTTAGTGTCCAGATATCAGTGTTGTGGTTGGCACTGTTTTGTTTTGATTGTGTCTGATGGTTTTAACCTTAGATGTACAAAATGCTCAGAAAAACGAAGTCTTGACTTTTTGTTTCATAAATATTTTGTTAACATATTTTATTTATAATTAAACTGGAGACTAACAAAAACAAAAGTTAGTGAAATAATACCAGTCACATACCACCAAAAGAAAAAGATCATTAAATTTATCAGGAAACCACCAGCCCCAGCACAAGACGACTATTTTATTATGGACAGATCAGAACAAGTCATTATCCTCCGCCTGAGAATAGGGCACACCCGATTACGTAACCACATGTACACAAAATTCAAGATAAGCGTATCAGCCATGTGCACCTGTGGAAAGGTGCCCCAGACAGCAGAGCATGTACTCCAGGACTGCACAGAATTTGACAGATTTAAGGCAAACCCTTTGGCCAGAAAGAGCAACAGTGTAAAGTAAACTCTATGAACCACTGAGTGAACTAACAACGACAGTGAAATGTATACAAGAGACAAAATTGCTGATATAGACAACTTATTTCAGGCGAACGATAGAAGAAATGAAATAAATTATGGCGAGTAGAAATGAACTCAATTTCAAAATTGCTTGTAAATGCTATTACCATCACTGATTAAATTGTTTTCTGGTATCCAAAGCAGAGTTCAATGATTGCTTCCACTTCTATCCCCATGCTTAAAGTTGTCGTTAAAAAAGATATATTTTGTTCTGCCACAATCTTTCTCCTCATTCTAGCTGAAAATCAAAACCAGATTGTGCACCCTGATGAACAGAACCATCGGTGTACACTATTGCATCGTCTAGCCCAGCCTTCCATCTATCGGTTGGTGTACATCAAATTCTGCCATACCCCGTGTGGGTTCCGGGGCCCCATTGTTGGGAAAACAAGAATAGACCCACTGCCTCCCCAAAAGCATGTCGTAAGAGTCGACTAATTGGGAAGCTTCCTTTGAAGTTACAAGGAACCAACAGTCATTACTCAAGAGAATGAGATCTGTAAAACTGATACCACTCAGAGCAGACTGCAGTGTGGACGAGCAACCAGAACCTTCCGCCAGAGTTTACAGCTGGTGACGTGAAGAAGGAAACTGCTGTACCGCTACAGCACTGCCTAAAGGGTAATGACCTCGTGTGGGTGTTCGTGTCGATTCATTTCTGCCCCCTGTGTATTTGCTCGACTGAGGCCGCCACCACGATTATTCTTTAGCTTAGAATTTCCTTTTTTCATCCGACCTCCTCTTAAATCTTTCAGATTACTATACAGCGGGTGCCTTTCCTTATTGGTAACAAGGTGTCACTACACTGCATTTTTTTCCAGATTATGACAGAAATATCACTTTTTCAATGTGTTCGTTTTTGTAAAGTTCGGCATTCGTAGAACAGATTACACACAAAATGTATGTCATTTGTAAACAATTTAGCATTGAAAAGTTAATACTAAAGACACCAACACATGCACTTTTTAAAGAAACAAAAAGTTTAAAAGTCAGTTTTCTCACATCTCTATATTTATGTTTGTTGTGTGTGTGAAATCCTAGCATCTCAGCTAATATATAGACTACAAACATGACCTTTAATATGGATGCTCTGTAAACGATAGTATAGGGACTGGTCTATTTAAAAATAAATTTTAGAAAGTTTTTGTTTTTTAAATATTGATTACTGTCTAATGATGCTAAAATTTGTTTGACTTTTTCAATAAACCCACATTTCAAAATTCTACGAAACATATTTAAAAACATGTTTAAAGTAAATTAACTACACCTGTACCTCTAAATAGATATTTAAAAACATGTTTAAAGTAAATAAACTACACTTGTACCTCTAAATAGGATTAAAGGTCAGGAATCCATCATTTATTGTTCAATATGTATGTTTGTTTTTAAAATTTTAGGATTCTAAGTACATATTGTGTTTTTTTTTTTTTTTACAAGATGTCGGCTATTGCCATGACAACCATGATTTTTTTACACCTAAAGTATACACATGCAATAACCATTATAAAATAACTGCTCTAACTCTTTAAATAAAAATAAAATATTTTTTTGTGTAAAAAGTCTTGGCTTGCGCCAGTGATAGTCTCGACTTTATCGATATCAATCCCAATGTTCTAATTGGTGTATCTCGTGAGCAAATTAAGACGATTCTCATTCCTTTATTTTGAATCCTTTTAAGCTTTATACTCTGTGAAGTAGTTGCACTGTTATAATCGTGTGTACCTAGCACATGGCAACTATGAACCTCTTTTATCTACATTGAAAAAGGCGAAAAATGCAATGGTATGGACATGAAATGGGATCTAACGGCCTCTCAAAAACCATACTGCAAGACTCAGTAGAGGAAAAGAGGAAAAGCGGCAGACCAAAAAAGACCTGGTTACAGAACCTAACTGACTAGACAGGCTTCATGCATGCAACTATAAAGTCCTATGCAACTAACCGCCAAAGGTGGAGAGAGATAAGCAGACAGTCAACATACACGGGTGACCCAACGACAGGTTGTGTTACGGGATATTACTGACTATGATCTAGACATCGATGTTGGACCCATGCCTGACATGCATTGCTAGACCTCGGTTTTGTGCTCCACAGGGATCACTGTAACAGTCATATCCTGGACTTTAAATGATCGTTTCCTCTTTTATTCTGGATCATGAGTATATCAAAGTGATACACTTCTTTTATTCGCTTAAAATAAATCATCTATATCTGTAATATTGTCTGTAGTATGAACTTCACTGTCTTTTGTCATTCACTCAGCGACCTGTAAAGAGTGACTTGCACCGATGTTTTTCCTGGCCAAAACGTTTTGCTTTAATATATATTGTATTTTGGGACAGTCTTGGAGGACATGATCTGTCAGACACTATTTTCTGCAATGTTTTTAACATATGCAACTAAAAGTTCGAGAATCACTAGAGACTAGGAACGAAAGTTAAATGCAATCGAAAACAACTGTCTGCGGAAATTTATCTAAAAAAGTGGGATGAATTCGAAGGAGTAAAGAAATAAGAGAAATGTCTGGGCAACCACTAGTATCAACAGTTATGAGATAAAGTAGGCAGCGCTAGATTCAGAAATGTTGACAAGATGCCAGCAGTGACTCGCCAAACAGCTATTGAAACAGGAAATGAAAAGATTAATGAGGCGAAGACGCCTACAAGTGACCCTAAAATGAACGTTGATGAGAGAGACCAAAGCTGCTAAACTGGATTCCATTCATGAAACGAACGGATTGCAGAGAAAAGAATTCCAGAGAAATTTGACTAAAAAGCTCAACAAAATGGGGAAGCAAAACGTGAACAAAACAACACAACGTAACGTTTCGGCCGGGCAGCCTTTTTCAAACATAAGTGAACTACATAAACGTTACAACGGGCAGGAAAGGAGAGTATGTAGATCTCCAAGAGGTGATGTGAGCAACGTTTAGAGATCTACCACATCGCTTTTTTTTTAAACGTTGCTCGCGTCACCTCTTAGAGATCTACATACTCTCCTCTCCTGCCCGTTGTGTTGTTTTGTTCACGTTTTGCTTCCCCATTTTGTTGAGCTTTTTAGTAAAACTTCTCTGGAATTCCTTGATTAGCTTGACTGCAGTCACCCCCATATTTTCACCATTTTTGCATAGCAAAGAAAGGGCCTGAGTAATAGACTACTAGCCCTATGTAATACATAATGTCAGAAGAGGACAAAGAAAGTATGTCATAATATATAGCAGTGCGTGCGTGCATCTCCTTTCTGTTAGCACCAGCCTGGAGACCAGAAACCGCCATAGTTTCTCGGGTCGGCTAGTCGGTTGCTGTCTGGGAAGTTTGGGGCCACGTATTGTTTCTTGTACTGTCCCAGTCTTTCGTGCAGTCTCCTGGCTACGTGGGGTAGGTGGTCGTACAGGTTGTTGCACTCGTACGGGTCATCTGTTAACACGGGAGAATGAATAAATGGATGAATCAAGAATTGACTTTCCTGCACTCAGTGCATTTCTAAACGTGTTCCGTCTCCATTCCTCGGTAGCCAACGAAGAGTCGACATGGTAATAGTATCAAATGCATCCAGATTAAAAGTTCGTCTACGTTTTCCCCTTAGTGTTGAAGATCTTCGAGACCTTCTGTTCAACTACCTCTAGCCCCGTCCCAATCCTTATGATGAAATAGTCCGTCAATATATGAATGTTAAGACTATTCTTTTGCACTGTTGTCGTGTCTCACAGAGAGACTTCACCACATTCGCTTTGTCATACATTCGCTCGCCACTCAGAAGAACCGGAGCAGTCAATCTATCTGCCTGCTCATTGACCCGCACACACGAATTTTCTGAACACTAGACCCATGAAATGCTTCTGATCTGTGTATTGACAAGCGATGCAAGCGACTCTACGCGTAGAACGCCAGTTTCTATTTTCTAAATCAGTCTGAAGTGTGTGTTTATTCATATATCATCATGTGGGGAAAGCATGTCATTTGTTCATTAATAATGTTAATAATTCCTGTGTGGGTACCGTGCCGTATTGGGAGAGAAAAAGGGGGGGGGGGGTGCTGAGAAGTGATATAGACTCAAGTAAAGAACCAAACAAAAGTAAAGATCCCTTTTCACGCCTTTCGGCGCCGATATTTTTACAGACCATCGGCACATGGAGGGTAATGTGGCCAGCATTACGCCAGCCGTCTTTACTTTCCCAGGACAGCCCATCCCGGTACCCATTTTAGGCTGGGTCGACCTGCGACGCCCTATATCATGATAAAAATCCACGCAACCAGCAGTGGGTTTCGATCGCGGTACGTTGGAATTACGATTCGGACTCGCAACGCCTAAGCCACGGACGCCGCTGTATAGACTTACTGCTCCCCACAAGAGCATGTCCTAAAAGTCGACTAATTAGACGCGTTTTCTTTGACAGGCGAGGAACCAACAGTCTGCATACAAATAAGCCACACACGTGAAATGATGTGCACGTAAAAGTTTAGATGTGGAAAGGTAACTAGAATTGTCCGCCAGAGAGAGCACAGCTCGTGAACATTAAGAAGAAGATAATGATAATGATAATAGTAATCCTATACCAATAACAATAGCAGCGATGATGATGATGATCATGATAATAATGATGATGATGATGATGATAATGATAAAGATGATAATGATGATGATAAGTATAAAAATGATAATGACGTTGATGATGATGACGATGATGATGATGACAGTGGTACCTAGAACTGACCTTTAGAAAGAAATGGCAAACTACTGAACGTATAAACTGACTACTACAGCTAAAAAACAATGCTGGGCTCAGTTATGCAACGTCCTGTGAAGGGTAAGCAACTAACTAGCTATTATAATTCAAAGACCGTGTGTATATGAAAGATATACATGTTTAAAAGTAAAGTAAATACAGACAAGATCCCCTTTCATTTTAGGTGCATCTCGGGTATAGGAAAAGCACCTACATTTTTACAGACCAATCGACACTAGGTGGGTAATGTGGTCAGCAATATGCCGGCCGTCTTTACTTCCCCAGGACATGCATCTTGGTACCTATTTTAGGCTGGGTCGACCTTCGTACGCCACATACCACGATACAAAATCCACGCAGCTAGCAGTGGGTTTCGATCGCGGTACGAGTCGGACTCACAACGCCTAAGCCACGAACTCCACACATCTTTAAAGACCAATCGATACTCGACTGATGACGAAGTATCCATCACGCCGAACACCCCCTTCTTCTCCCCCCCCCCCCCCCCCCCCAAGAAAGAAAATCTTCTTGTTCACCGGGTCAGTTTTGGAGCCTGGGTTTATTTAAAATATTCAAGTCGATGCTGATTCCAACCCCAGACATTCACACTAAGCTAAGCTGCCCTGGCTTAAAATATTAATAATAATAACAACAATTATAGCAATAATCATGTTGCGTCGTGTGTTGACCACGTATATGGTGGGTGTTTTGGGAAACGAACAGTCAGACAATTTGGCTGCTTCTCTAATAATGTAAAGATCCTTTTTCACGACTTTAGGCGAATCGGGCATATGGGAAAAGCACCCATATTTTTACAGATCAATCGTCACTCAGTAGGTGATAACCCGGTCGTCTTTATTTCCCCTGGACATACATCCTGGTACGCATTTTAGGCTGGGTCGACTTGCAACAAACTTTACCACGATAAAAATCCACGCAGCCAGCAGTGGGTTTCGATCACGGTACGTTAGAATTACGAGTCGGACTCGCAACGCCTAAGATACGGGCGCTTCTGTGGTTCTCTAATGGTTAGTTGCGTATCCTTTACAGGACGTTGCAGAATCAACCCCAACAGCCCCTGGCTGTTGTGTGGTTTTTCTAGGCAAATTTACGTCCAGTAGTTTGTCATTGTGTCTGGACGGTCGGCTTTCTTGATAATACTATCGAAACCAATGCAAGGCGCATGGCGCGCTGTTGGGATGGAACCCGGCATCCCGGTATTACGAAGCGTTCGCATCGACTTAGCCACAGGTTCTTTAATACTTTGTGGTAAATGGATTAATCTCAATAACAATTAGATTACCTTTTAGATTGTACAGAAGCTTGGCATTGATGGTGTCATTGTAGGGGCCCCGAGCCACCCAGTCCATGATTGGCTTGGGACTGAACGGGCCTGCGTACCCCTGATCTTTGGCTCCGATCTGATAGTGTTCCTGGTAGGGTCCGGGAAAACCCTCGATGAGCTTGTAGTCGCCCATTCTAGTTGGTTATATCGAAATCAAGGACAACAGTTAATGCATAATTACTCAGTTATGATGTACGGAAGGGAATTATGTACTGTCATTCCATTCATAAAAACAGTTATGTGCAAGTGAGAGAGATGTGTATGTAGAAGCTTGGTGAGAAAATAAGGGACAGACAAAATAGCGTGAAGAATTATCGGTTGCAACAGTTCATCATAAAGGAAACTATTGCCAAACTGGCAATACTGCCTTTATTTTACCATTTATGCAATGTAGGCAGGGAGGTCTTTGAGCCGGAGGATTAACGGCCGCATGGCTAGGGCTGTCGCAACAACTGTGCAGATAAGGATTTTGTTTTGCCCCCGACATAAGAAATCCCCAGGATTTGAACCTGAGTATCTCGTTTGAGAGCCGAGCGTTCTAACCGTTCCGCCAGCCACTCCTCAAGAAAACTGTTGGCCACGCGAAAATTCACAGTTTGAAATTATAATAAAACGCTGAAAAGTGATGAAATACGTTGTGACAACGGAAATATTAAAGGGTCGGAGAACTTGAAGGAGAACAAGAAACAGGAGACATGATGACAAATAGGAATGACAAAATGAGATAAGAAACAGAAAAGGACAGGCAAAAACTGCATTTCATAAAATGAAGAACATCTTACGCAACATATCCCTGTCCTTGAAGGATAGAAAAAGAATTCTTGCTTGCTACATACATCCAGTTTTAACAAATGGCTGTGAGTCCTGGACAATCGGTAGGCAGGCCAAAAATTTTCTTGAGGCCTCAGAGATGGGGTTTTATAAAAGAATGCATAAATACCTTGGACAGCCAGAAAGAGCAACCAGGATGTTTTTCAAGAGACAGGAGCCCGAAGATAAACAACAGAAGGAGACAGTCATCCTTTTCCGGCCATTTTATGAGAAGAGGGAAAATGGAACATGTTGTGACCACTGGAAAGATCTGTGGACGGAGAGATAGAAGAAGACAACGAGAGAAGATTCTGGACAGTCTTGTTGCATGGCATGGAGGTGTGTCAGCACACGAACTGATACATGCTGCAGGGGATGTGGGTGCGGAGAGGCATCATAGCCCACGCCAGTCGGCAAGGCACCTGGATGTAATAATGATGACAAAATGAATTATAGTAAATACGGCAGAATGAGTAGGCCGCTATGGCAGCCAATATTGCATGACCCATGTTTTGAAGAAGAACTTAAACATATAACTTAGTATAAATGAAAACATTTTAAGATACCATCATTGCATAGCGCGGCGTCCGTGGCTTAGGCGTTGCGAGTCCGACTCGTAAGCCAGCCTACCGCGATCGAAACCCACGGCTGGCTGCGTGGATTTTTATCATGGTACGGGCCGTCGCAGGTCGACCAATCCTAAAATAGGTACCAGGATGGCTTTCCTGGAAAAGTAAAGACAGCCGGCCACATTACCCACCGAGTGCCGATTGGTCTGTAAAAATATGGGCGCTCTTTCCATATGCCCGATACGCCTAAAGGCGTGGAAAGGAATCTTTAATTTTTTTTTCCTCATCATTGTAAATGAGGTCCTTTACAGAACGTTGTTCTCATTGCGGTCTGCTCGAAAGAAACTCGGTCCCTCGCTGTTTTCACGTCTCTTGCCCTTTCCTATGCATTGTGTTACTTATATCTTAAGCTCCGCATCGTGCGGGTCTTCCCATGCCTCTCACGCTGTCGCCATGCCCTTTGCCAATATTATTTTCAAGATTTGCCGTGACGCTTGAAATGGCCAACAAATTTCAGTTACCGAGACAGGATACTGTTTACTAGCCAATTTTCCTCGCTGTTCAGCCCCTTTTATGACTCCAGTATTTAGATTATGTTTTTGTTCATTGTATTCTGAGAATCTTTCTAAAGCATTTCAGCTCCAAAATCCTCTGTTTTCATACTTCAGTATTAAAGGATATTCGATGACTGAAATCTTTTTGCTGCTATTGGGAAGAGGAATTGCTTAGAGGTTTCTACAGTGATGTCCATGCTGGTGCTTAGCCATAGACTTTGAATGCTGTTTAATAATTACATTGCTATATCCATTGCTCTTTTTTTTAATTTCTGATTAGAAGTTTCCATGGATGTTTGTTGTGAAGCCTGAATATTCAAAGTCTGTGATATTTTCAATGTCTTCATTATTGATTGGTTTATATATATATATATATATATATATATATATATATATATATATATATATATATATATATATATATATATATATATAGATATTATATATCTGTGTGTCAGTCTGTCTGTTTATCCTATGTGCGCGTCTGTCTGTAGGCCTGTCTGTCTGTTTCTCTGTCTATCTGTTGTCTCAAATTAAACAGCTACGACTAAACTTCTTCATTCAAACAACCGCCACCACACCGCCTCAAACACACAGATACTAAAAAACATAATCCATTGATGAGACTTGCTTAACTTAAACCACTAATTAACATCATCCATCGAAAATACTCCATTAAAAATTGTCTATAAAATAACTTCTACCAAACATCCATCAAGCCACCAACAACAAGCAACATCCATTAATCAGCCCCTATCAAACATTATCCATCAATATACCACTATCAAAAAACATCCATTAAAAGCTACTATCTTGCGTTCTCCGTCAGACAGCTAGTATCAAACATCATCCATCAGTCAGCAACCATCAAACATCATCCATCAATCAGCCACTATTAAACATCACACATCAATCAGCCACTATGAAATATCATCCATTAATCAGCCACTATGAAACACCATCCATCAATCAGCCACTATGAAACATCATCCATCATAGAGCCACTATCACACAGCATCCATCAAACAGCCACTATTGAACATCCTCTATCATAGAGCCACTATCACACAGCATCTATCAATCAGCCACTATGAAACATCATAATCAATCAGCCAATTTGAAACATCACCCATCAATCAGCCACTATAAAGCATCATCCATCAAACAACCGCTACCAAACATCATCTATCAAACAGTCACTATCAAACATCATCCATCAAACAGCAAATATGTTACATAATCTATTATTCAGCCACTCATGAAACATAATCCATCTATTAGCCACTGTCAAACATCATCTATTAATCAGACACTACCAACCATTTTCCATCATAGAGTCACTTTAAACCATCATCCATCAAACAGCAACTATCAAACATCATCGATCATGCAGAGACTATCAAACATCATCCATTAAACAAGAACTATCAAACATCATCCATAATGCGTCCACTATCAAACATCATGAATCATACAACCACTATCACACATCACCCATCAATCAGCCACTACCAAGAACCATCCATCAAACAGCAGCTACCAAACATGATCTATCAAACAGCCACTATCAATCATCATCCATCAAACAGCAACGATAAAACATCATCCAACAAACAGCCACTATAAAACGTCAACCATCAATCAACCACTGTCAAATATCATCTATCAATCAGACACTACCAAACATTTTCCATCAAACAGACACTACCAAGCATCATCCATCATACAGCCACTTTCAACTATCATCCATCAAACAACAACTATCAAACATCGTCGATCATACAGCAACTATCAAACATCATCCATTAAACAGCAACTATCAAACATCCTTCACAATACAGCCACTATCAAACATCATCCTTCAAACAGCAACTATGAAACGTCATACATTAAACAGAAACTATCAAACATCATCCATCGTACAGCAACTAGCAAACATCATCCATCAAACAGCATCTATCAAACATCATCCATCAAACAGCAACTACCAAACATCATCAATCAAACAGCAACTATCAATCATCATCCATCAAACAGCATCTATCAAACATCATCCATCAAACAGAACGGGGGGGGGGGGGGGGGGGGGGTGGCAGGTTGGACATTGAATAATCTTACAGTTACCAAGGATGACAATTTTAAAGCTGGGTATACTTAAAGTTAGCTCGCCATTGTTAACCACTCGGTCAGTCGCATGCTCAACCAAATAATGTAACGCTAAACCTTTTGAATAACTTTCTATAAGATTTTCCCCCTTCAAGTTTGCAGTCTTTAAGAGTAACATCTTATTGAAGAAAATCAAACGCCGTAAACCCTGCTCAGGTGTATAGCCATTTAGCACAGTTAGATTGGTAACACACGAAATGGTTTGACGTGAGCCCGGATCTCTAGTGTAATTGGCTAAATCGGATTGCGCGGTAACTGGGTGAAGAACTCCTTGTGGTCAGGGTTCACTCCCGGGAGTAGGCAGAAAAGCCACATTTCTCCCATATTTACGGTATTTACAATGGAATCAAGGCCGAAAGATTGCGATATCCACAATACCGAGCCTAAGGGTTAACAACTCATGGCTTCTGGATACTAAAACAAACAAATAAACAAACAATGGTTTGAGGTTTGAACAAGGAATCAACATCATGGCACAGGGGTAGTTATCGCGTACGTGCTCCGTTCTAACTCAAGTCTGAGTCTGAAAAATCTCAAAGCAGTGCAAGATCTCCCTTGCACTGGCAAGGATCCTAAAAATTGTTGCATAGATTTCTCTTTTCTGTTTTAAACTGCCAAGGAGTTTTTTACCTGCTCAACAATACACACGGGTATCTGATCTCACTACCCAGAGACCAGGGAAATTACTAAAAGTCCACGTGAAAAAATCCCAACCCTCATCGGGGCCTGAACCCGAGACCTCTGGTACTCGAGGCGGATGAAGAAGACCACGAAACCACGCAGCCCCACCCCACTCCCACGAAATGGTTAAGAGGTAACACACAGTCACGTGTGTATGGGTCTAGAAGAAAACACAGATATTAAAAACGTGCTCCACACACACTCCACCTCACCGGATAGCCACTGCTCCCTGGGCAGGGTGTGGATCATAATCCATGTTGTACACGAACTCTGACCTCTTGGATTCTCCTCCACTTATGATGGCTTCCCATTGGTTGACTCCGTCCTGGTTCTGATCTGCATAATAACCGCAACACAATATGTTGGTCTACTTTTACACACGTTTGTGTGTGTGTGTGTGTGTGTGTGTGTGTATGTGTGTGTGTGTGTGTGTCTGATTGTGTTAGTGGTGAAGGAGTTAGAAAAAGGAAGAAGAGAGACAGAGAGAAAAGAACGAAAGTCTGAAACAAAAGTTGAAAGAAAGATAAAGTTATAAGAAAAGAAAGAAATAAACAAAGACAACACAAAGACAGAAAGACAAAAAGAAACAGGAGAAATAAACAAAGGCATATTGGCAGCAAAAAAAAAAAGACAGAAAGAAGGAAAGAAAGAAAGACGGGAAAAAACGAAACACAGTAGAGAGTTAAAAACACAATACCAAGAGACATAAACAGAAAGAGACGACAAAAAAAAAAAAAAAAACATCAACAACAAAATATAAGGGGGGGGGGGGGGGGGGTGAAAAACACACCGTAAGAGCAGTTTGAAAATGCATAAAGAGGCATTAAAAAAAACAACAACCGACAGACAGAAACAAAGGAGCAAGAGTAAATGAAATTCAACCCCATAAGGCTATTCAAAGTAAAAAAGTAAGAAAAGATCCCTTTTCACGCCTTTAGGCGCATCGGGCATATGGGAAGAGCGTCCATATTTTTACAGACCATTAGCACTCGGTGGGTAATGTGGTCAGCATTACGCCGGCTTTCTTTACTTACCCAGGACAACCCATCCTGGTACCCATTTTAGGCTGGGTCGACCTGCGACGTCCCATACCATGATAACAGTACACGAAGCCAGCAACGGGTTTCGATCACGGTACGCTGGATTACTATTCGGACTCGCAACGCCTAAGCTACGGACACGGCACAAGGCTATTCACTAAATGATAAACATCTGGTGACACAAAGTGACACCATGTGGATGAGGATCACCCGTGGAGAGGTCCCAAAAACCCCGTTTAACCGATAGGTTTCTTTTAAGGGTCCTGGACAATAGCCGGGGTAGGACTTTAAAATAACGAAACCTTGCGTTCTTTTTTGAGACACATAACTCAATATTGAAGACATGACACCGATACTATAAATCAAAGCTTGCTTGCCTGGTAAAGTAGGTACAGATCCTTTTTCACGCCTTGTGCGCATTCAGCGTATGGAAAGAGCACCCCATAATTTTTACCAAAGAGTATACCCAGTTAAGGTCGGCTTTGTGGCTAAGTCAATGCGAACGCTTTGTAATGCCGGGATGCTGGGTTCGATCCCAGCTGCAGGCCATACAACTTGCGTTGGTTTCGACAGTGGTATCAAAAAAGCCGACCGTCCAGGGAGCAATGGCAAACTACTGGACGTAAATTTGCCTAGAAAAACCACACAACAACCAGAGGCTGTTGGGGTTGGTTCTGCAACGTCCTGTAAAGAATACGCAACTAAACAACCCAGATTAGGCTCGGTCGACCTGCGACGCCTAGTACCATGATAAAAATCCACGCAGCCAGCAGTGGGTTTTGATCGCAGTACGTTGAAATTACGAGGTAGGTGGGTTGTTGTACCCCATCAGGATATCACACAAGTTATAAACACACTGAAACTGTCTGAATTGTAACCCTAAGTTGCAACCGGGGAGGGGGAATTATAGTCTTCTAGACATAGACCCACCATCCCATAGTTGTCGCTACCACACCCACATTAGCGTGCTGAGCGAGGTATATCCTTAGCAGCAACCAGCAGCATGACGATTAGGGTCATGGCGGTGACTCAAGCTTTCATGTGGCTGGAATCACAGGACTATTACCGCGTGTGTGTGCTGAGTGATTCTTTGAGCGAGGTCCGCCTGTATATAAATAGAGAAGGCCGTGCTTTGAGCAAACTTCCTTGATATCCAATTTCATCCTTTTTAGGATGAAATTTTTTGTTATAAGAAGCCCCAACCTGGCTTGTGCAAGAAACGCAATATAGGCAGGCCATAAATGTGGCCAATTGTCTGAACGCGGTTTCTGGGACCTCTCCACGGCCATCCTCATCCACATAGTGGCACTTTGTGTCATCGGGTGTTTATCGCTTGTGTGATGTCATGGTGGGGTAGAAAGTCAGTCAGGCTGCTTTGCGCATAATCCGGCGGGTCGAGGCAGGCTATTTACGCTGACAGTGGTTTGAGTCATTGCACAACTCTTCTGTGTGTGCAGTTACCTTAATATTATCCCAGGTCATGCAGGCATTGATGGTAATGAAAGAGCTGATAGATTAGCAGGTGTTGCATTAACTGAATATGGCCAGCCCATGGATCACGCAGACATTGTCATTGCCCTTAGAGAGATAGGACGTTCTGAGGATTTTGAAAGCAACGTGTCAACATTACTGAAGAATTTGAAGTAAATATCGGCACAGTCAAGTATGCGAAGCAACCGGACACACACAAAGTCTTGTTAACCAACATAGGACTGGCACTATTAACCTCGCGACGCTGATGAATATGTTGAGAGGGGAATCGCGCCAAGAGGTGCTTCCTGAGTGCTGTGAAGATAATCTAACTCATTACTCAACTCATAGCGGGCTGAGGCAGCTGAGAGACTAGCTTCACTGGCCAGATTTCAGTGTTAGCTACCAATTCGCGGTAAGAGCATTGGGTGCAGTTTAGGGTCAATGGCCAAACATACGGCACCGGTGGAAACAAATGTGAATTAGACAACGGGATAATTCAAGTTCCGCAACTTATTCCTGGCAGATTTAGGCAATCAAATCTAGTATACACGTAAAGAAGCGAACTAGAAGGAGAAAGACAGAAAGGAAATTATAAACACCTATACACTAACAGAAAAAGAGTTTAGGCGAGAGAGAGAGAGAGAGAGAGAGAGAGAGAGAGAGGGAGAGAGAGAGAGAGAGAGAGAGAGAGAGAGAGAGAGAGAGAGAGCGATGGCGGTTTGACGAAAGAGACAACATACCTGTATAAGTGGAATGAGAGAGAGAGAGAGAGAGAGAGAGAGAGAGAGAGAGAGAGAAAGAGAGAGAGATGACGGTTTGGCGAAAGAGAGACAGCATACCTGTATAATTGATCCCAAGGGCGCTTGCCAATGTCGGGAACCAATCAACAGCGTGAATCATTCTGAAAGTTTTTTAAAAGGGTAGGAAATTATAGGGAAGAGAAGAAAAGAGATAATAAAGAACAACAGTTTATGTTAGCTTTACAAAATCGATCACAAGGAACAATCAAACGATGTTGCGGCTGTTAACCTTCATTAGCACATAAAGAAAAACACAGCACACCTACAAAGACAGCATAGACTGTTATACACACACATCGATATGGTATGCATACATGCAAAATTAGTAAAACAGTTTGTTAAATATAAAAAAAAAAGGAAAAAAAGGCTGTTGGGGGGGGGGGGGGGATGCTTTCAATTCCCAATTTCATCAAGTTCTATCCTCTTTGAGGCATATTACATAACGTAAATTTGATAAGAAAAACAGCAGCATCCAAAACCATTTGCTGGAGTTGGTATTGCAATGCCCTGTAAAGGTCGTACAACTAACGCTGTACTCGTAGTTCTTTTTGTTTCCCATTGCACCATGTCTATACACAAATGTGTGTATGTTTGTAAGCTGTACACCACCAGGACATCACACAAGCCGATACACTCAAGATAACACTAAGTCCCACCACGCGAATGAGGATAACCCGTGGAGAGGTCCCGGAAACCCCGTTTAGACCTTAGTTTTTTTTCTTTTTTTTTTTTTTTAGTACCAGATATTTTCAGGCCCGGTATTATGATATTTATTCCATTTTTAATATCCGAGCCCCGGACAAAAGCCAAGTTGGGGCTTAAAATTAGCTAAAAATTGCATTCCATATGGGAACGGCGAAGATAAATAACTCTATACAAAAATCCCAGCTCAAGCAATAAATACTGTCACAAAAGAAACACATAGTTATCCAATAGTGCGTTTTTTTTTTTTTTTTTTTTAAGTTCACGGGAACGCTAATACGTCCAAAAACTATCATGACTCAAATGCGAGAGAACTATAAATTGATTGTTTGATCACTATGTATCTTTGTTTGATATTTGAAATTAGTTGGTTAAATTTAAAAAGACTTTAGCATCAAACTGATGTGGTGCTAGCGTTGGCTACTTTTAAAACAAGCAGAGGTTTGTTCGAGAAATGTCTGGACGAAATGTTGTCTGGCATGGACAGCCAGCTAGTTAGGGTCACAAAGGTGCAGAGAGCTACGGTCTTTTGGCCGTGATGAATTAATCAAGTAACAGAAAGTATTGTGATCGGTACTCAAAGAGAGAATCAGAAAGATAGAAGAACACACTAGACAACATCAAAATCGAAAGCTATAGCTACCGTGCCGGGAATTGAACCTGTCACCTCCATACGGCGTCTGCGCCTCGCCATGAATACAAGTGCACTAAGATACATGGTCAACTAGAACATTTTCGAGGCCTTGTGACGGACAGTACTGTTTCACAAAACGAGGCGTTGGCAGGCTCCCACGAAAGTGGAATAAAAACAGTAATGGTGCATTGGATCTCAAAGCACATCTGATTGGAGAAACAGCTAGCCAAAGAGAGATAGAACTACGTTCTGTTAAGGGTCTGTTGATTGATTAAGGAGATGGAGGCTAGAGAGTAAATTTAAAAAGATGGCGAGGACATCGGGAGAGCTGCATGTTATAGCGAAGTATAGCAGACTTGGTGTGGGTTGGTTAAGGCTAATGTTCCATTCTTCTTCTTCTTCTTCTTCTTCTTCTTCTTCTTCTTCTTCTTCTTCTTCTTCTTCTTCTTCTTCTTCTTCTTCTTCTTCTTCTTCTTCTTCTTCTTCTTCTTCTTCTTCTTCTTCTTCTTCCTCATTCTTCTCCTTCTTCCTCATTCTTCTCCTTCTTCCTCATTCTTCTTCTTCTTCCTCATTCTTCTTCTTCCTCATTCTTCTTCTTCCTCATTCTTCTTCTTCCTCATTCTTCTTCTTCCTCATTCTTCTTCTTCCTCATTCTTCTCCTTCCTCATTCTTCTCCTTCCTCATTCTTCTCCTTCCTCATTCTTCTCCTTCCTCATTCTTCTCCTTCCTCATTCTTCCTCCTCCTCCTCCTCCTCATTCTTCCTCCTCATTCTTCCTCCTCCTCCTCTTCTTCCTCCTCCTCCTCTTCTTCTTCCTCCTCCTCCTCTTCTTCCTCCTCCTCCTCTTCTTCCTCCTCCTCCTCTTCTTCTTCCTCCTCCTCCTCCTCTTCTTCTTCCTCCTCTTCTTCCTCCTCCTCCTCCTCTTCTTCCTCCTCCTCCTCTTCTTCCTCCTCCTCCTCCTCTTTTTTCCTCCTCCTCCTCTTCCTCCTCCTCCTCCTCTTCCTCCTCCTCCTCCTCTTCTTCCTCCTCCTCCTCCTCTTCTTCCCTCCTCCTCCTCCTCTTCTTCCTCCTCCTCCTCTTCTTCCTCCTCTTCTTCCTCCTCCTCCTCCTCTTCTTCCTCCTCCTCCTCCTCTCTTTCCTCCTCCTCTTCTTCCTCCTCCTCCTCCTCTTCTTTTTCCTCCTCCTCCTCTTCTTCCTCCTCCTCCTCCTCTTCTTCTCCTCCTCCTCCTCTTCTTCTTCCTCCTCCTCCTCTTCTTCCTCCTCCTCCTCCTCTTCTTCCTCCTCCTCTTCTTCCTCCTTCTCCTCTTCTTCCTCCTCCTCTCCTCTTCTTCCTCCTCCTCCTCTTCTTCCTCATCCTACTTTTTCTTCCTCCTCCTCCTCCTCCTTCTTCCTCCTCCTCCTCCTCTTCTTCCTCCTCCTCCTCCTCTTCTTCCTCCTCCTCCTCCTCTTCTTCCTCCTCCTCCTCTTCTTCCTCCTCCTCCTCTTCTTCCTCCTCCTCCTCTTCTTCCTCCTCCTCATCCTCTTCTTCCTCCTCCTCCCCCTCCTCCTCCTCTTCTTCCTCCTCCTCCCCCTCCTCCTCCTCTTCTTCCTCCTCCCCCTCCCCTCCCCCTCCTCCCCTCCCCCTCCTCCCCCTCCCCTCCCCTCCTCCTTCCCTCCTCCTCCCCCTCCCCTCCTTCTCCTCCCCCCACTCCCCCTCCCCCTCCTTCTCCTCCTCCTCCTCCTTCTCCTTCTTCTTCTTCTTCTTCTTCTTCTTCTTCTTCTTCTTATCTTTCAACATTAACCTCAGCGAGGTGTGGGGGGGGGGGGGGAGGTGGGGGTGGGGGAATTGTAAGAATCGTTTGTGCGGTTTTCCAATACACTGTACAAGTTAGTGTTCATTTCTGTTAAGTTGCTCCTGAATGTCGTTCCATGTCTTGCGTGGTCTTTCCCTTGCTCTGTGTTCATTATATTACTTCAGGGCAGCTCTCTGTGGCAGTTGGTACCAGGGCATTCTCGTCAGGTGGCCAAACTATCGTATTTGTTTTCTTTATCGAAATGTATGACTGGTTTAATGTATGACTGGTTTAATGTATGACTGGTTTAATGTATGACTGGTTTAATGTATGACTGGTTTAATGTATGACTGGTTTAATGTGTGACTGGTTTAAGTTCTAGTCTTGTTCTAATTTCTGTTTTCCTGATTTCATCTCATCTTGTCACATTAGCAGCTTTTCTAAGACAGATGAGATTAATGATGATTATTTGATATTATTATAAATTATCAGATTACTTACCCGTTATAAATAACACCGGACTGGTTCAACACGGGCCCGTGTAGAAAGGTGACAACTCTGGTACCCCCCTCAAACAGTGAAGCTTTGCCGCCCCTGAGTGGAAGATTGTTGCTCCCAGAAGGGGTCCAGCCACCGTTCTAGAGAGGGGGATGTAAATGTAGACATGTTGGTAAAAATATAACTCAGTCAATCAGCAAGGGACATAACTGCATTAGTGTTATTCCGTATCCATCTTTAGAAGCCAACGAAGATTTGACAGGTAAATAGCAGCAAGTGCAACCTGATAACAAGTCAGCTTTCGTTTCAAACACAATGTTGAAAATCTTCCAGAATCTCTACGTACCACCGTTCCGTTGAATTTGTTTTTCAATGTATGCATTTGTCTGTCATTTCATCCATCGGTCCATCCATCCATTCATCTGTCTGTCTGTCTGTCTGTCTGTCTGTCTGTCTGTCTGTCTGTCTGTCTGTCTGTCTGTCTGTCTGTCTGTCTGTCTGTCTGTCTGTCTGTCTGTCTGTCTGTCTGTCCTGTCTGTCTGTCTGTCTGTCTGTCTGTCTGTCTGTCTGTCTGTCTGTCTGTCTGTCTGTCTGTCTGTCTGTCTGTCTGTCTGTCTGTCTGTCTGTCTGTCTGTCTGTCTGTCTGTCTGTCTGTCTGTCTGTCTGTCTGTCTGTCTGTCTGTCTGTCCTGTCTGTCTGTCCGTCCCGTCCGTCCGTCTGTCTGTCTGTCTGTCTGTCCGTCTGTCTGTCTGTCTGTCTGTCTGTCTGTCTGTCTGTCTGTCTGTCTGTCTGTCTGTCTGTCTGTCCGTCCGTCCGTCGTCCTGTCTGTCTGTCTGTCTGTCTGTCTGTCTGTCTGTCTGTCTGTCTGTCTGTCTGTCTGTCTGTCTGTCTGTCTGTCTGTCTGTCTGTCTGTCTGTCTGTCGGGGAGGCAGTAAGTCTACTATATTCCTCCAAAAATGGGGCCCTGAAATATACACGAGAAACTAGACACACACACACACACACACACACACACATATATATATATATATATTTATATATAATACATTTTTTGAGTCCGTGTACTCACATCTGAGGTGAAGAAAATCAAAGTGTCATTGTAGATTCCCTTCTGTTTCAGTGCAGTTACCACACGGCCGACTACGTCGTCTAATGCCGTCACCATTGCTGTTGGGGTCATACAACAATAGTAGTATGTTCATGATACCTATATTATTGTATTTTAATATACAATAACATACAAACTTACGCTAATTCAGGACCTAATACTTCGAGCTTTTTCTTCTCCTTCATCTCATGTTTGTACGGTTTGTTTACCTCATCTTTCCTTTTCTTTCCCTCAAACTCGTTCCCACCTCTTCATCTTTTAATTTTCATTATCTGTCTCCAGTTACTACTACAATATATTCCGCTTTTACAACTACTACTGCTACTTCAACTAATACGACTGTTGCGACTTCTGCTACTAAAGCTACTACTACTGCTACTACTACTGCTGCTACTACTGCTGCTACTGCAACTGCTGCTAATTTAACCACTGCTACTGCTACTACTACTACTGCTACTACTAATAATAATAATAGTAAAGATACTACTACCACTGCTACTTCAAAAAATACGACTGTTGCAGCTTCTGCTACTAATGCTACTAAAACTGCTACTACTACTGCTACTACTACTGCTACTACTACGGCTACGACTCACACTGCTACTACTACTCTTACTGCTACTACTACTATTACTGCTGCTACTACTAATGATACTAGTAGTGCTACTACTACTGCTACTACTACTGCTACTAATACTGTTACTAACCAAAGCTGCTACTGCTTCTGCTGCAACTACTACTACTACTGTTACTTCAACAAACAAGACATGGCTGCTTATGCTAGTAGTACTACTATTGCTACTCAAACTATTACTGCCACTACTGCTACTCAAACTATTACTGCCATTACTGCTACTCAAACTATTACTGCCACTACTGCTACTCAAACTATTACTGCCACTACTGCTTTTAATACTACTTCTACTACAACTGCTGCTGCTATTACTGCTACTGCTACTATTATACTGCTACTACTACTACCACTGCTGGTATGACTGCTACTACTACTGCTACTTCAACAAATACGATTGCTGCTGCTGCTAACACTACCGTCACTACTACTATAGCTACTGCTTTTTGAACTATTACGAAAGATGCTGCTTGTGCTACTAGATGCTACTGCTACAACTACTATGGCTACCTCTGCTACTACTTCTACTAACTGCTATTATAACTACGAACTACTACTACATGGTATGCTATATAATACAGTAATACCACTAATTTTAGTAGTAATGTTGTGACATATTGTTCCTGCAGCTACAACATTACCTTTGATTTGTTTCACTTTGATATTTATATTGACACTTTTGTTGATTTCACCTCTTACGCGCTCTTCTTCCTTCTCCTCCTACTTCTAACACTGCTACTACTGTGACTAGAAAGGGGCTGCGTAGTCTCGAGTGCTGGAGGTTTCGAGTTCAACCCCGGTTAGAGCTGGGATTATTTCACGTGGACTTAGACTTCTAGTATTTTCCCTGGTCTCTGGGCAGTGACATCAGACGCCCGTGTGTATTGTTGTGCACGCAAAAAAAATCCCCTGGCAGTGAGAAATCGAAAAGAGTAGTCTAACGGCGCTGCCCGGACAAAATTGGAGTTAAAAATCAACCCGAAGTATTTCAGGATCCTCGCCGGTGATACAGAGCTTGTGCACGGTGCTGAGCTTGTTCGGACTCAGACTTGAGTTAAAAGAAGAACTGAGCACATATGGGTTACTACCCCGTGTGCCATGATGTTGATCCGTTGTTTAAACCTCAAACCTGCCCGGCTCTCTAGCGTAGTTGGCTAAACCAGATGGCGCGGTGACCGGGTGACGAACTCCTTGTGGTCCGGGTTCACTCCCGGGGGTAGGCAGAAAAGCCACATTTCTCCCAGATTTACCGTATTTTCAATGGAATCAAGGCCGAAAGGTTGCGATATGCATAATACCGAGCCTAAGGGTTAACAACTCATGGCTTCTGGATACTAAAACAAACAAACAAACTTCAAACCTTAAACCTCAAACCTACTGGGACTAAAAGAAGTGGAACAGTACTACTACCACTAGGTTTGCAGAACCAACCCCAGCAGCCCTTGGCTGTTGTATGGGTTTGTCTAGGCAAATTTACGTCCAGTAGTTTGCCATTGCTTCCTGGACGGTCGGCTTTCTTTATACCACTGTCGAAACCAACGCAAAGCGCATGGCCCGCAGTTGGGATAGAAACCTGGCATCCCGGCATTACGAAGCGTTAGCATCGACTTAGCCACAGAGCCGATTACTACTACTACCACTAGTACAACTATTGTAACTTCGTGTAGGACTTCTACTGAAGCTGGTGATACTTCAGCTACTTTTACAGTTACTTGATTAGCTGACACTGCAGCTGTGGCCATTATCGGTATTAATTACACTTACATATTCATGCAGCATATTGCAGCCTCCGTTGCGCAATCATATAACTAGGCAATGAACACCTCCCAACGCTTTCAGGCGTTTTGAGCAAATAGGAATCGACCTATATTTAATAGACCAATTGGCACTCATTTGATAATGTCATCAGCCTTACGCCTGCCGCCTCTACTTCCCAGGACTTTACCTGGTACCCACTTGAAGCTGGATGGACCTGGAAAGTACATCATTTGGGGGGGGGGGGGGGGGAAGAAAAGTCCATCAGCTTAAAGACCTGCTAATTCACAGGCGGGCGTCTAGCCGCTAAACCACGGCGGCTCCCAGTATCTAATCCTACAGGTACTTAAAACTCCCCTCTCACCAGCTAAGTGATTTTTGCTTATTTGTGTAGTATTGTTTGATTAGTATGTACTGATGAAGGCTCCATAGCCGCAATGTTCAAATTTTGTTTATACTTGTTATAGTAAAGCTTGCTAATATACTTTTCGTTCCGTTTTATATCTTTTCCTGATAATGTTATAACTAGAGCGACCACACGTCCCGTTTTCACCGAGACAGTATCGTTAGATGTTCCCTTACCTATCACTTTAGTACTGGTGGAGGGGGAGGGGGTGACCAATTGTCCTGTTTTTTAACAACCCGTGAATTAGCTCAAAAACAGAACATACACTAGAACAGATGTTTCCAATGCCTTAGATGTTTTGATGGTCAGTTTCCTCGTAGCAGTTTACTTTTTCGTTCATTTGTCAGCGCAGTTAAAGAGCATATTGTTTCGTTTATTTGTTGGAGATAAGGCTTCAGATTTTTACCTTTACTTTAACCACTTTTGCGGTGTAGGCCGGGGGGAGGGGGGGAGGGTGTCTATGAGCCTAAAGACTTATGGTCGCCTGGCTAGTGCTGTCGCCACAACTGTGCAGGTGAGGATTTTATCCCGACCCCCACACACACACACACACAAAATTACCCCAGCCTTACTGAGGATTTGAACCTGTGACTACCGCTTGAGAGCCCAACTTTTTAACCGTTCGGCCAGCCGCCCCTCATACCTTCCTTTGCCTAGTGATAAACTCTTTCACATGGGAGTAGGGTTAAAGTGCCTTGCTTGGGATGAGGCTTCTTGAGCACCAAATATTAGTGGGTGTTCCTGTTTTTACCTCAAGATATGCCCGGCTCTCTAGCGTAGTTGGCTAAACCGGATGGCGCGGACACCGGGTGAAGAACTCCTTGTGGTCCGGGTTCAATCCGAGGGGTAGGCAGGAAAGCCACATTTTTCACAGATTTACGGTATTTACAATGGAATCAAGGCCGAAAGGTTGTGATATCCATAATACCGAGCCTAAGGGATAACAACTCATGGCTTCTGGATACTAAAACAAACAAACAAACAAACAAGCTCAAGATTTTGAGGTCACCCTAGTTATAAAGAAAAAACAATTTTTTTTAAATATTAACATATATTAATGAATAACAATTTTACCTGATAAATTGCGTCTGTTTTCGTCTTCAATGTTTGTGTACATGTCCAAGTATTTTTGGGGCACCTGAGAGAAAAGTAAACATCTCTTGAAACAAGTGTCATAGATGGGAGCTTAAAATGTAATAGCGTAAACAATTCAGAGTTTAGAATGTAATAACTAGGGCAATCTAATGCGCGACCCTCCACCCCTACCCCGGCCCCACCCAGTATGCTCGTAACATAAGACCTCACAAATTGTAGAGGGATAGCCATATATTTTATATGTGGAGAGCAGTTAAGAGTTTCCAATAAAATAGCGTGAACAATTCAGAGTTTTGAATGTGTCACCTGGAGCAATATATGTTGTTTTTTAGAATGCTCGTTATAATTTTCGTAGCAGACGTGGTTAGTGCCTTATTGAACAGCGTTTACAGTTCGGAGGAGCAGATGGATCACCACAGTCAGGTGAGATTGATGCAGGGGGGCGTGACGAGAGGTTCTGGCAGATGCTCGAGGTTCAGAGGAAAGGCAAGGCAGACTTTTAATCAGAATGCTTCTGGCACCATTAGTATCGGAACTCTTCGCTGGCTGCTGAAGATGAGTGCGGAGCGCTTATGGGACTGCCCTGCGTGCTGTGATGTTAGTTATTGACTCAAATCAAATCAAATTGGTGTAGCAACGTTAGTTGGCTCCCGGTACTGAAAATTTTTATGTGAACACACCCTCACCTCCCTTCTTCCCGGACCTCCACCAGTGGCATTACAAGGATAAGCGGTACTTCGTGCGGAGAATGACCTGTCTCCTCCTACACATACACACACACACAAAAACACTCATACACAATCTGATGAACAAATCCATCACCCGAGCACCCCGAAAAGCGAAATACAAATACAGAAAACCACGACACTGGACTACAACCTGGTATCAGTGAGATGACAGAAGTAGAAGAAAAAGGAAGAAGAGGAACAAGAAAGGAAGATGAAAGAGAAGAGAAAGAAGAAGAAGAAGAAGAAGAAGAAGAAGAAGAAGAAGAAGAAGAAGAAGAAGAAGAAGAAGAAGAAGAAGAAGAGAAGAAGAAGAAGAAGAAGAAAGAAGAAGAAGAAGAAGAAGAAGAAGAAGAAGAAGAAGAAGAAGAAGAAGAAGAAGAAGAAGAAAAGAAGAAGAAGAAGAAGAAGAAGAAGAAGAAGAAGAAGAAGAAGAAGAAGAAGAACGAAGAAGAAGAAGAAGAAGAAGAAGAAGAAGAAGAAGAAGAAGAAGAACAAGAAGAACAAGAAGAACAAGACGAAAAAGAAGAAGAAAGGAAAATAATAATAATAATAATAATAATAATAATAATAATAATAATAATAATAATAATAATAATAATAATAATAATAATAATAATAATAATAATAATAATAATAAGAAGAAGAAGAGGAAGAAGAAGAAGCGCATATTTTTTACTGTTTAATGAATCCCCCCCCCCACTCCCCCCCCCCCCCCACCGCCCCCTTTCCCACTGATGACACCCTGTGCAAATCCCACTTCTCGCACGCCCAGTGCTACGCTTCTGGTCGTAATATAAGGCCTACCACAAATGAAAGCCCTCGCTAGAATTGTCAGCCAGACGGACGGATTTAGCCTTGTGATTAACTTGCGACTGGCCCAGCAAGCTGGCATGGGATTACTTTTATCGCTCGAAGAAAGAGGAGGAAGTATAATCGGACTGATGTAGTTGACATAATCTGGTTGCCAGCAGACAGTATACAACAAAAAGGTAAAAAGTAAAGTCGGGAGATGTGAAAAGGCGTCATTGCACACGGTTATAAACCATAAGTGCTCTGCCACCAGTACGGACTGCTGATAAGAAACTATCCGCCTGTGTCGCCGTCCGCACGTAACTCCGTAGCTACATCGACGTTCCTCCATTTACACCACACTCTGGCGCCCATTACCTAAAGGCTGGGTGAACCCCAGGAACCGTCCGGTTTCGAACACCGGTTGTGGGCTGCAGCGAGTCGCAGCTGCATTTGAAAGCGAGTCTCCTATCGACTACGCTAACGCGGCCCCCGACAGTATACCACACGAAGCAATCATGTATAGTCAATGAACAAGACGCTGACGGTGTAAACCATATAGAGAGGGAATTACATAGTCCCGGGAAATTCTACAAACCGGGCACTTTCCCGGTGATCAAATTCACCTCGACACCGCAAGGTAGATGATGAGATAATATAAATAAGACAAATATTTATAATAATCCTCTAGACACATGTTAGTCTATCCCCTTGAGCCTAAAGCAATGCATATGACTGATGTCATAACTGTCCATGTCTGGCGGTTCGTTGCCACCTGTGTTAGGTCTTGGATGTTCATTGGGCCTATAGTTGAGCCTTCCCTGAAGATGGTTCTACGCAGAGTCTCTCTTGGTCTTCCCCGTTTTCTTGTCCTTTCCGGTGTCAAAAGAGGTCTTGATGAGGAAGTCTCGTCTTATCCATTCTGAGTGCATGATCGATGTAGTTCCAACGACGCCTTCTAATAAATACGGATACAGTGTCTTGATTGGTCTCTTGACTTTTTCACGTTTTAGATGTGAAATCTCTTCTGTGAAGATTTAGTATATTTTCTAAGACACCTGTTCTCAAAATGGTATGTTCTTATATTCTTTCTTTCTAGAGCTACTGTTGCTTTCCGATTTTGGCATCCATACGTAAGTACTTGAATCAAATAAGAGTTGAAGATCTTAAGTTTTGTGTGTTTGCTGAGTGTCTTTGACTGCCAGATTAAATACACGAAGTGTGTTTCAATTTAATGTAGGAGTATGTCTTTGAATGTGTGTATATAAAAGTAAAAGTAAAGTAAAGATCCCTTTTCACGCCGTTCGGCGCATCGACCATCAGCACTCTGTGGGGTAATGTGGTCAGCATTACGCCGGCTGTCTTTACTTTCCCAGGACAGCTCATCCTGGTACCCATTTTAGGCTGGGTCGACCTGTGACGTCCCATACCACGACCAAAATCCACGCAGCTTGTAGTGGGTTTTGATCGCGGTATGCTGGCTCACGAGTCGGACTCGCAACGCCTTAGCCACGGACGCCGCTATATATATATATTCCAAATTTTGTACATTGCAATAAGATATCACCAGAAAAAAAGCTTTAGGGCATCTTTTCAGGAGAAAATTAATATCTTCTTATTCTTCGCGTTCACCAGCTGTAAATTATGGCGGAAAGTTCTGGTTGTTCTTCCACTTCTGGACTGCAGTCCTGTTCCAGAACTTGAGTGTTGTGTGTGCATACGTTTGACAGATCTGACTAATTTGTATGCAGACTGTTGGTTCCTTGCTTCTCAGGCAGCTACACTCCGACTTCGAAGGAAACTCCCAATTAGTCCACTCTTACGACATGGTTTTTTGGGTAGGTTGTGGGTCTATTCTTGTTTTCCCTATAACAAGGCCCCGGAACCCACACGGGGAGAACATTAATATGAAAATTGTTTTGTTGTTGTGGAAAACTTGGTTGTTACCTGTAGAGGCGTGTGCACATTCTGCAGCGCTAGGTAGAGAAACAGGGGCGAATCCGTGTTATGGAAGCGAATAATATCCTCCGCTCTGCTCGCGTACTGCTCCTGTGAATGATATTATAAGACTGGGGATAAAGTAAAGGACCTTTTTCTACGCCTTTATGTATATGGGGCATATAGGGCTAGGTCTAACTCTTTTAGAACAATTGGCACTTGGTGGGCGATGTGATCAACTTTAGCAGAATGAGCAGTCGACACTGTTAGATACTCAGAACGGGGGTGGGGGGTGTTAAACTTCGTTTAAACCTCAATCCAGATACTCAGTCTGTGGACACGCTAGCGTCTATACTCTTATCTACGATGCACGTTAACTACGTTATCTAAATACCAATTCCTGTCTCTTATCACTTTACGCTAATTCCCCCATACCCTCCCTCTCCCCAAACCTCCCCCCCCCCCATCCCCAAACAGCATTCATCAGATTACATTCTGGTTCAGTTATAAAAAGGGAAGTTTCAAGTCTGAACAACGGATGAACATCATATCATAGCACAAACAAAGGTAGTAACACACAAGTGCTCTGATCTTCATCTAACTCTAGTCTGAGTCCGAAGAATTTCACCACAGTGCACACGCTCTGTAGCACCGGCGAGGATCCTGAAATACTTTGGGAGGATTTGTAACTCCAAATTTTGCCCGGCCAGCGCCGTTAGGCTAAGGTTTTCGATTTCCATCTGACAACAAACATAACGAAAAACCCTCGTGGGATGCAATTTTTCGCCCCACCACGGCTCTTGGCATGGGCCGCAATACAGCCCGGCCATAAATATGGCCAAATGGTTGAACGCGGTTTCTGCGACCTCTCCACGGGTTATCCTCATCCACATGGTGGCACTTTGTGTCCTCGGGTGTTTATCGCTTGTATGATGTCATAGTGGAGTAAAAAATACTACTACTATGCCAACTGTCAAGAGATTCTTTACGTGCGCAACAATGCACACGGGCGTCCGATCTCACTACCCAGAGACCAGGGGAAATTACTAGGAATCAAGGTCCACGTAAAAGAAATCCTAGCCCTAACCGGAGATTGAAGCCGGAACCTCTAGCACTGAAGGCGGACACTATGCCTCGAGACCACGAAGCCCCTTTATAAGAGGGAAACATGTTTCATGTCATTCCTTTATAAAATCCAAGCGATCCAACTAATTATCGCGTGGCTTATTTCATTCTTGTTTTCATTTTCTGCAGTTCGAACCCTTGAGGCTCATAGCTGCGGATATCACCCACCTTCATTCATCTTTCTGGCTGACCTTCTCTGTCCATTTGGTGACACCAAGTGTTTGCAGGTCTGTCTGGACATTATCTCTCAATCGTCTTCTCGGTCTGCCTCATGGTCTACGACCATTCATCTTCCTCGTGTTTACAGTTTTCACTTCTCTGTCATCTGACATTCTTTCAATTGGTCCTAGCCATTTCTGTCTATTAGATTGCACGATGCCAGTGATCAAAGGTGATACAAACGGACGACAAATTTCGTTGTTGCTTTTTATTTTCTATTCTTCGCTGTTTGCACCTTTGATGGGTCCAAAGTTTCTGAGGAGTATGAAATAAATGGTCTTGTCAGTTCAAAAAGTGCTTTAATAATAACCTACCAGAAACAGGGGAAATCCACAGGTCACGGGACAGTCTAAAAATTCAGGGGGTGGTAGATAGGCTGCATGTAGTCGTGGGACCTAGTCTGCACTCTCTCGTGGGACGTACATGGGTTGGAATTAAGGCTAGTTCTGTTTTGGGGTCGTTAAAAGCATCAGAAAGCCGGGAACTCCAGTCTTACCACCCTCTAAAAGAGTTGGACTCTCCTGTGACATCATATGGGGTAGGATATTGAAAAAGGACTGTTTAAACTAATATCAGTCGCCCAACTGGTCTAACAAAATCAAACGAATGGGAACATAACTACTTGGATGTGACCGTCAAGTGCTACTTCTCCTCCTTCTTCTTCTCTTCCACCTTGTACCTCATCGAAGTGTCATGGGGAGATGTAATGTTCGTTGATGGGCTCTGTCAAGAGCACTATTAAGACTGATGTTCATTTCTGTAAGGCTGTTCTTAATGCCATCACTGCATATTTTCCGAGGTCTTCCACTCGCTCTATACGCGTTGCAACGTTTTCGTGTGGCTCGCTGTGGCAGATAGTACCAGGTCATTCTTGTTAGGTTTCCAAAACACTTCATTTGTTGTTCTTTGATGAACTGTAAGACTGGCCTTATTCCTAGCATTCGTCTGATTTCATGATTTCGTATTCTGTCTTTCCTTGAAACTCCTGCAGCTCTTCTAAGGCATTTCATCTCTGTTGTCACAATTTTACGTTTATTGGAGGATGTAAGTGTCTACGTTTCGCATTGATAGCATAGGGTTGGCCAAAAAATTGTTTTGATAAGATTTACTTTACTCCGAGGTATCTACTTGTGTCCACAGGAGTGATACAACCAATCAAAAGAAGAAATGCAATTTACAATATAGTGTGAAAATTAAGTTCTTCGTCCATCACACATGATGAAGAACATTTTGTTTCAAAGTAATAGCTGGATGAAAGTGACTTGCGCAAAGACTTGGATTTAAGTGAGGAAGAATTACGTAATTCATTGACCTCACTCTATCGCCTATGTCCATCTTGATCTAATA